ATTTCCAACCCAAAGTCAATGCCTATCACGCCTTCTTCCAGCACAGCTAGACGTAGCGTAACTCACCAAGAACCAGCCATAACCCCCAAGACAACCTGCAACTGCCCAATAATCATATCCAAGACCATTTTCTCGTAGGGCATGGAGGCAGCACACAAGGGAGCACAGGAGTGGGAGGAAGTGGGGGGAGAGGGGGAGGGTGGTGAGAGTGGTTGGCTGCCAGCGTGGAGGCAGTGCGCAAGGAGCACAGGAGTGGGAGGAAGTGGGGGGAGAGGGGGAGGGTGGTGAGAGTGGAGGGAGGGCAGTAGCAGCAAGTGACGCCGCAGCAGCGACACCAAGTTTGCCTACCGGTTGGATCCCCTCCAAAGCCTCCAGCTCTATCATGGACCCTTTTGAAGTAGGTGCTACTCTTCCTGAACCGCGAGTCAATTGGCACCGCGCCCTGCTGATGCTGCTAGAATATGTGGACTCCGCCAATGGGGGAATGAGCCTATCAAAGATGAACAAAGAGAAACTAATACAACTAATATCAAAGATGGCGCACGTGCTAGTTGCTGAGAATATGCGGACTTGCCGAGACCTAGAGCGCCTATAGCTTGAGTATATCGTTGGCACAAGAAGAGGATTTGTCACAACAACATTCGTCATCGAGGGCTACCCGTTACAAGTCCTCTACCACAGGGACATCATGCTGGTGAGTCATAGTTCAATGTTCCCTTAATTATCTTATCTCTATTTGAATGATGCTAGTTCTCTCATGTCATATTGCTTGTGTGCCCTTGATCTACTACCCTTTTTTCTGTAATGTTGTTCTCATACTCTGTTATATGTTTTGTTGCGCTCTCATACCCTACCATATGTGTGCCCTTGCTCTCCTGCCCTCTTATCCATGCTGTCTCGATCTCATATCTTACTGGTTTTATTCTCCTACCGGCTGTTTTGTAGCACTCTCATACCTAATTGCTTGTGTCTCCTTCCTCTCCGACCCTGCTTTCAATGCTATCTTGCACTTACACCTAAACTACTTGTGTTCAAATGTTCTCCGACCAACCATGTTTCTTAAGTTGATTTGCTCTCAAACCTTACTGCAGTAGCATTACTGCAAGGCGCCAACACTATCTTTTATAATAAAGATTACCACCCACAGGTTTCAAGCAATCTCAGCGGGCTGATTAGCCCCTTGGCCGCGTTGCAAGCAATCGGATATTCCGTGGCCGGATTCGCGGCAATAAAAACAACGCCCGTCGCCATCCCGACGCCAAGTCCAGTGGCGTTCCCCTGGACCTCGATTGCGAGGGGCGGGATTTCCATCTCTTCTTGCTGGCCATCACAATTTGAGTGGCCGCTTTAACGTTTTTATCCTCCACGACCTCGCCATTAAACTTTAAGGCCATGTTAGCCACCTCGAAACCGCGTTGATCCGCGGTGAATATAAAATGAATCTTTTCTTCAGCCTCATCAACTATCTGCTGCATATAATCAGCAAGTTGTTCGCCGCCGTGTGAAGGTACGATGGAAATAGCATTATGCGCAATAGCTTGAATGCGTTCGAAATTAAACAATTGAGTGTGAATGCCGTCACTTTTGACAAGAGAAGAACGCAACTGAGGGCGTGCAGGAGGAATGAGAGCCAGGATAGGGTTTGCTGTAGTGGGCTTGGGACGAACGGTAATTACCTTCGTCGAGATTGTCAAAGTTGATATCTTACTGCTTTTATTCTCCTACCGGTCACCTGCTTTTATTTTCCTACCGGGCGGGGGCGGGGGCCGCCACGGCGCGGGCGAGGGGCGGGGGGCGGGGGCCGCCGCGGCGCGGGCGAGGGGCGGGGGCCGCCGCGGCGTGGGCGAGGGGCGGGGGGCGCGGGCCGCCGCGGCGCGGGCGAGGGGCGCGGGCGAGGGGCGCGGGCCGCCGCGGCGCGGGCGGGGGGCGGGGGTCGCGGGCCGTCACGGCGCGTGCGAGGGGCGCGGGTCGTATTGTTGGACCCTCCAACACGAATATTCAGCTTCCATCCCCGCGCAGCGTTTGAGCCATTTACTAACCGCTTATATAAGGACGCGTGACGTCATCACATGCCGCCCCACGGTTCTGACACAAAAGGATTTCGGGGCAAATGCAAAACCCTCCCAATACCTCGAGTCACCGCGAAAATCTTTCCTGACCAGGCGAAAAATCCCTCCGAATCCCTCCGTCTCAATGTCAGATTCTTACTCGCATATATATGTCAGTCGTACTGTTGCAATCTCGGTGACATTTATCGAGCACTGCTCGACGGACATTGGCCAATCGCCGTCGACCACCGTGCATCCTCGACAAGACGGGTTACAGCACCTGACGTCACCATCGACGCCGCGCTGTCAGACGGGTTTCGCAACCGGCCGACGGTCACAATCGACGGCGCCATCAATTGCGCTCGACCGATCACTTTGACGGTCGAGCGAGACGTCTGCTGTCGGACGGGCGACGGATTACGTAAGTCGCCATCAAATGGGTCACGATAACAGATGACGGCCTCGTTAAAGGCCAATGCCTATGGGTCATCTGTAAGAGAAGGGTTATCAACCGAACTACGGTATATATGAGATCCTAAACTTGTAGCATCGGTAACATCCTTTTTTGGGTTGCGAAGCAACCTATTGCAATCGACCTAAAGAAAAAAAAAAATCACGGGAATCTTAATTTATCTGCAAAAAAAAAAATAACATAATTGGAAAAGGCTTGTTTAGGGTACTAATAATTTTGACAATCTTTTCATAACGATCATACCGCACTTGTTTCATGTCTGCAAAAAACATTGTAAAATAACTGGAAAATGCTTGTTTAGGGCGCTAATAAACCTGAATTTTTTTAATAACGATATACCGTACTTGTTTAGCTTTCTGGTTATTTGCTCGTGATTGCTACTCTACGTCGTTCTTTTGTAACGCGCGTGATTCATAAATTTGAGAACCTTTGGAGAATTTCAATGACCGACCAAGCGATAATTGCATTTCTCATATTCATCAAAAGAATTGATGAATATTTGAAGTCCTAAATTTATACTACCGCTTCCCCCGCCTAGCATGTCGAGGAAGTCAGCAATATAAACGTTGAATTAAACAGCTACCATGACAACGTAATACAATTTGCATATCCCAAAAAAATATCTAAACTGATCAAGTCCAGCTGAAAATGGCTTCACTGTCATAGTGGTGGACCACTCAACCTTTTGTGACGATGATCGGCAAGATATATTTTTGAAACATGCAGACATGCATTATGATTGCTAGAAAAAAAAGCATAATACAAACAGAAATGAAACAAATAGAGAAATTACTTATAATTAAAGGAACTAAAAAAAATGCACTGTAAGTGGTACGGCACTCCCTTCAAATCCATCCAGCCTAAAAGCCAGTATCTGCAATAACAAAAAAGAAGAAGCATCGAATGGAAGAAGTGATATTAATAATTGAAGTTTAAAACAGAATGAAGAGAATGGCTGTAACGAGAGAGAACGAGAGAGAGATAACGAGAGAGCGAGAGAGAGAACGAGTGAGAGAGAACGAGAGAGAGAGAGAACGAGAGAGAGAGAGAGAGAGAGAGAGAGAGAGAGAGAGAGAGAGAGAGAGAGAGAGAGAGAGAGAGAGAGAGAGAGAGAGAGAGAGAGAGAGAGATGCGTATGGCTCAGGAAGCGGACCACACTACCTTGCACGAGTCTGCGGCCTTCTCGCCTATCACTAACCAAAAGCGAGCGGACCTGGTGATTCGGGACAAGGAGTCCAACGAGACATACGTCACGGACGTGACGGTCACAGATCCTGTCCTGCAGCGACGCGACAAGAGGGCAGTTAAAGCACCAGGGTGGGCGGCGGAGGACGCGGCCAGGGTGAAGCGGGGCCTGTACGAGGGGCGCCCCGGCTTTGTAGGGGTGTTCGGTCTGGCGGTGGAGACCTACGGGGCGCTGGCTAAGGATACCCAGCGGTTCCTACGCCTCCTGGGCACACAGGCGGCAAAGAAGAAGCACCGGCAGGGGAGACTTACTGCCGTGGCCTCTCGGATCACGGCGCATTACCGACAGAGGTGGTCGGTCATGCTCCAGCGCTGCCAAGCGAATGCCCTGATGGCCAAGTCCAACAGGGCACTCGAGGCGGCACACCCCCAGGCAGCAGCTGACCCGTGGGAACCAAGCCTCGGGGACCTCTGGCAGGTCCTCGAGGACGGCATGGCCCAGCTACTCGACCTAGGGGAGTAGAGGGCCGGGCCGACTGCAGTTGGGCTGGCTCAACCGCATGAGACCGCCCTCTGCTGGCCTGGGCAGGAGGGGATGCAGGCTCTGGTGAAGGTCTGAGCTGGCCAGCAGTGGTCTTGCCCCGAGGCTGAGTGTGGTCGCCTTGCAACCTAGTATAGCAACCTAGTACAACGGATGCCATGCCTGTGATTAAGTTGGTTGCTACCTCTGCATGCCTAGGTTAACTTGCTTGCTAGGACTGCCGCTGCCTTGCTTGTACCTTTGCAACACATCAATGCAGGACTGCTTGAGAGAGAGAGGCACCTAGTGACTTAGCCTCTCAAGCCTCCCCTAGCCTCCCTAGCCCCCCTAGTCCTAGTATAAAGGCCTCAGAAGGCCTTGTGGCCTCTTTATTATTCAGTTTCTGGTTGGGTTTCTCTCCTAACCGAGCGGGAGAGAAAGGAGAGAGAGAGAGAGAGAGAGAGAGAGAGAGAGAGGCACCAAGTGACTTAGCCTCTCAAGCCTCCCCTAGCCTCCCTAGCCCCCCTAGTCCTAGTATAAAGGCCTCAGAAGGCCTTGTGGCCTCTTCATTTTTCAGTTTCTGGTTGGGTTTCTCTCCTAACCGAGCGGCTCGCGCCGGCCGCCTTCGGCGGCCGACGCTCGACGGCGCGGCCTTCGGCCGCGCGTTTGCGGCAGCAAGCAAAACAGGCAAAACGTGCTCGCACTACAAAGGCATGCAATCATGGCACTGGGGTCTAGCTACTAATGTCAAACATGGGACAAGCAGTGGCGGATCCTACATCCGATCAGCCTCAAGAACAGCGAGGAGCCCCGCCTGCGTCCGCTGCAACTCCAACACCACCTCCGTGCTTGCGGCGATCAGATCGCCTCCAGTCCCTGCGCGCAAGGACCGGCGCAATCCACGGACGGCCGCACCAAGCTGTCCTACACCCGCAACTCCTCCCCTCGCGGGCGCAGCCAACACGGGCGCCAGGATCTCCGCGAGTTGATCGGCGACTTCAAGGCACTCGTCAAGAGGGCCGCGACCGCGGGAGAGAGCAAGGTGGCCATATACCTGGATCAGGTGAATGGCACGCAGGCTCTCCGAAAGGCGCCACAGCTGCCCCAAGGTCGCCTCCGGGACCTCTACTTGACGAAGCGGAGGTGCCCACTGCGGCAGGGAGCGGGCCGGTGGCGCGGCAGCTGGAACCGCCGGAGCGAGAGGAGGAGGTGCAGCTGCCGACGGGGCATCCACAAGCAGAGCAGACGGAGGGGGAGCTACAGGGGGGGGTGCGACCTGTAATGAGCTGCTCTGGCTCGCCTGCCCAGCTCTCTCCTCGCGCATTGCAGCCGACACAACCCGTTGCACGTCCGCAAGCGTCAACGGCTGCACATACGCACCGCCACCTCCACGCTCACGACCCCCCCTCCAACCACCACGACCGCCACGGTGGGAATTCCAGTGCGCACGGGGATGCGGGCGCTGAGGAGAGTCACGGCGACGACACGCCGACTCACGCTCTGTCGGCCGAGACGGGGAGGGGTGACGGGAATGGCGGCGTCCAGGCGACGGCGGACGGCGAGCAGGCTGGGACGCAGATGCTATCGGAGACAGCACCGCTGCCACCGCCCCCCCCCGCCCCTGCCGGAGTCAAGTCTGCGGTGGTGGCAGACGCCGGAGGGAACGCCAATCCGTTGGCCGGAGGCGGCACAGAAGGCACACCGACAGCAGAAAGGGCGGGGCACACAGCAGCAGGGGAATCAGTGGCTGGAGCAGAGGAGGTCGGCGCCGCAGGCACAGACGGATTCCCCACAACCCCAGCAGGCGGGGGAGGCATCACAACAGCGGGTGCGGCAGGCGCAGCAGCAAGCGCCGGTGCCGTCGCCACAGCAGGCACAGGGGGAGACTCCACAGCCAGAGCAGATTTCACATCCGTTGGGGCTAGAGTCGGCGGTCCGGCAGGCAGGGGAGCCGGCGCCGCAGCAGGCGCAGGAGCCGGCGCCTCCCCAGGCGCACGAGGTGGGGCCACAGCGGGCGCAGGAGGCGACGCGACAGGGGCAAGGCCCTGCGCACCAGCTGGCGCAGTATGTAGCGACGCGGCCGACGCAGGCGCGGACACCTCAACGGACGGGGGTGTTGCCGCCAATTTCGGAGGAGGGACCGGTCCGGCAGGGGGAGCCGAGGGCGGCTTTTCCACAGGAGTCGACATTGGAGACGAGACAACCAGCGGGGCACTCACAGCTGACGCCACGACAAAGGGCCTTGGCGAATACGAGAAATCGGCCCCAAGTGACACAGGCATCTCGACGCGGACGAGGCGCAGGACGACAGACTACGGGAGGACGTGGCGGAGGGCCGGAGAACGCGTTCCAACAAGCTGCGCGGAGGGCTTTAACAAGGACTAATGAGGATGACGAGGCCCGCGATGCCTCTTTTATCCCAGCTGAAGAAGCCGAGTCCACCACAGAGGACTCGGCTGAGGAGAGGAGTCCGCCGAGGGGAAGACGACCAACACCAATTCGAGAAGCACGGGGGATTGGGGTTGGTCCAGGAAATCGGGCCGCATCTGCAGAAATTTCCCCCTCCTCCCGAGCCGCCCCAATTTCTGCAACATCTGCTCGCGCCACCAATCCCAACCCGACCCAACCCACCACTGCACCGCCAAACCACACGCAACCACCTACGGAAAAATCGCCTGAATCACTGGCTGCTGATAACACGCTTTTCGCTGCCGTGGAAACATGGGACTTCACGAAACTCTGCGACAGTCGCAACGCACCCCTGCCACGCCACCTCCCACAGGACATCCGCCCAATTTTCGCGACAGCGCTGCTAGCTCCTCTGCTCCGACTGGCTGACGACCCAGAATCGCTGACAGCATGGACGGTCTTTCTGTTCCTCGCACGCCTGACGCTGAGACAACACACTCCTCAAAAACCCGATTGGCCTGCAGCCAGAGCAAGATTACGACAGTTCTTGGCGGGGGAGTGGAGTGCACTGTACTCTGACACGCTTGACTCTCTGACCTACCCTCAAGCGCCCAGGCATATCCCTGACGACGTAGGAGTGATTGCAAGGGCAGAGGGCCTTGCGCGACGTGGCAGCCTGAGGAGAGCGGTTCTGGCCCTGGAGGTGACGCCGGTGTGCACCCCGTCAGCAGCAACCCTGGAAGCACTGCGCGCCAAGCACCCACCTGCTCCTGAAGCACCCCTCGTTTGGCCGGTACCTGACACCAGCGCCGACTTGACTGCCACCTTGCCCGAGTTTCTCAGAGTTCTGTCATGCTGTGACAATGGGATTGGGGCAGGCCCATCAGGTCTGACATTCGAACACCTGCGGGAGGCCTGTCTAGTCAACCAGTCAGTGGCGACAAACCTCCACGCAATGGTCAACACCATTCTGACAGGGAAACTGCCACCCCCAGTCGCCAGGCTCCTCACAGCGTCCCGCCTACTGGCTCTCTCCAAACCGGACGGAGGGACAAGGCCGATAGCTATTGGTGAAAGCATCACCAGACTTGCCGCCAAAACAGCTCTGATGTTGACAGCAGGGGCAGCAAGAAATTTTTTCATGCCCCACCAGTTCGGCGTAGCAGTGCCTGGGGGAGCGGAGGCGGTTATTCACATCACCCGCGCCTACCTATCTGAAAATTCATCTGCACTAGTCCTCCAGGCAGACCTGGCCAACGCATTCAACAGTGTCAACAGGGCCGCAATAGCATCCTCGCTAGACAACTCCGCTCTAGCACCACTAATACCTGGTACAGCTCACCTACGGGGCCCCCTCACTGCTCTACCTGGACGAGGGCTTCAAGCATGAGCCCCTGCTGAGCATGACGGGAGTTCGGCAGGGAGACCCTCTAGGGCCACTGCTATTTGCAGCTGCAATCAATCCCGCGCTACAAGCTACAGCCCAAGCCTTCCCCAATGTAGCCTGCCTAGCGTACGCAGATGACGTCACCTTCCTAGGGGAGCAATCTACCTGCGTAGCAGCGTTTCAGCACTTCACAGAGAGCATCACGTCGATTGGCCTGCATCATAACCCATCTAAATGCGCGGCCTGGTCACAGTCAGGCATCCCCACCACCGCCTTACCTCAGGGTGTCCCGTTCACTGGAAACAGCGTGAAGCTGCTGGGCAGTTTCATAGGCTCTGATGAGGCCACAGCTGACTTTATCCGCTCAAACCTTAGTTCCATGGCGGCGCCTCTCGGCCTGATAGCACGGATGGAACCTCAGCTGGCTGCCCTCCTACTCTCCAGGTGTATCTCATGACGAGTTTCTTACCTCATCCGGACCACACCCCTCATCCATTTGCCACTGAACGAGTGGTCCGGTTGGGGCAGGCAGTTGTTTGAGACGCTGTTAACGGCATGTGGCATCAGGCACCCGCGGGGTGATGCTGAAATCTCGCGTACATGGTCCCAAGCTTCGCTGCCAGTGTCACTTGGGGGCCTGGGAATCACTGACCCCGCTGTAGAGGGCAGCTACAGCTACCTAGCTAGCTTTACCCAGACACAGCAGCTGCTTTCAACTCTTGATGATAGTCAGCTAGGGCCCCTGACGGAGACACGGGTGCAGATGATGGGGCCGTACACAGACTCTTGCGCCCTCTACCGCTGGCTAGCTCGGTGCGAGGCAGACCTACCGAGTGATGCAGGGGAGCTACTTCAGAGGGACAGGGCTGCACCCACGGGTGTGAAGCTGCAGCAGGGGCTAGCCTTGGCAGTTCAGGGCAGGAGATATGCTAACCAGGTGGAGAGCACACGGAGCATGACCCCAAACCCCAATAGCGGCCACACGCAGCGACTTCTCTCCCTGTCAGGGTATGGAGCTGGGGACTGGCTCCATGCAGTTCCGCTCATGCCCTCCCTGAGGCTTGACGGTCCCCACTTTGCCACAGCCCTCCAGTTCAGGCTAGGATTACCATTTTCGGCCCCTGAAGTTTGTGACTGCACCAAACAGGTTCCCATCCCAGACAAACGGCTTCCAAACCATCTCTACGCTGCGCCACAGGAGGGGGAAGGACAAATACTCACAACGAGCTGAGGGATGAGTGCATTCGGATGGCACAGTACGCCGGGTTCATGGTGCACAAGGAAACGGCGGAGTTCTGCCCGGTCACCAGGAAGACAGCGGACCTAGCCATTCGTGATCGGTCCTCAGGGGCAGTGTGGATCGGGGACGTCACCATCACTGACCCCATCAGCAAGCGCGACCCCAAGGCGGTGAAAGGGAGGGGGTGGGCTGCCAGGGAAGCCGCTGACAAAAAAATCTCAGATTACAGCGGCTCCCCGGCAGCCTACGTATCATTCGTACCCCTTGCAGTCGAGACTTATGGCTGCCCATGCGCAGAGGTCCCCGCTTTCCTCAAGCTCTTGGCTCACACGGCGGCACGCAGGCTCTTCAACGCCGACCCTACAACCTACCAGGCGGCAAAACTTCTCAACCAGTTCCGCCAGAGATGGTCGGTCGCCCTTCAGCGAGCGCAGGCCGTAAGCTACATGGCCAAATGCAACCTGGCAGCAGAGGCCCAGAACCCTCTTGTCGGGGCCCCTGGCGAGGAAATGTCCCTGGGGGAGAAAGAGAGAGAACGAGAGAGAGAGAGAGAACGAAAGGGAGCGAAACGAGAGAGAGAGAACGAGAGAGTGAACGAGCGAGAGAACGAACGAGAGAGAGAGAGAGAGAGAACGAACGAGAGAGAGAGAACGAAATAGAGAAAACGAGAGAGAGAGAGAGAGAGAGAGAGAACGAGAGAGAGAACAAGAGAGAGGACGAACGAGAGAGAGAGAGAGAGAGAGAGAGAGAGAGAGAGAGAGAGAGAGAGAGAGAGAGAGAGAGAGAGAGAGAGAGAAAACTGGAGAGAGAGAGAGAGAGAGAGAGAGAGAGAGAGAGAGAGAGAGAGAGAGAGAGAGAACGAGAGAGAACGAATGAGAGAACGAACGAGAGAGTGATAGAGTTCAACAAACTACGATTTCGGAAGAAACTATGTAGTATTCAAATCGGGATGCAACAATTTAGAATGACGTAGCAGCTTGGGTTGCAGTCTTTGAAAAGCGACATACACGATAAATGGAAACGGGTTACTGCTACGACATAACTTATGCAAAGAAACAAACACGGGCGAAAACAAGAGAAATCTGAGGTATCTTAGTGAGTGTTCTGACGCTAAACATTGAACGAATGCTAAGACAATAACGACGACTAATAACGAAGAGACAAAGGAAGAATGAAAGATTGGGATGCACTCGAAAATGCAGAAAGACAAACATGAGAACAACTCGAAGTTCTTTACCGAACGCTAAGGAGAAGAAGAGGAAGTAATGGAGGAAGAAAAGGGTAGAAAGATCCACCCTCAACTAGAACGAGCTTAAGAAAAGAGAGCGTAAAGCTTACCCTAATATGAGCTATAGTGTGAGTGGTGTGAGTGGCGTGAGTGGCGAGGGTGGCTAGGTACGGGAGGAGCTGGAGTTGCTGGACGAGAAATAGAGGAAGAGACATTTGGCGAAACCCTAGGGAAGGGACGTTTTTTACAGTTTAAAATGTCTAAAAACACACGACGACAAGCTCGAGCAGCTTGTTTAGCATAGCGCTGTCGAAGTTTCAGTATATCGAGAAGGTCCAAGGTTCGAGTCTTGTCGTGTGCGGTGGCTTTGTTGAAAATAGTTTTTGTTTCATTCTGAAATTTTGCTGTTCCAGATTTTCAGCCACCCTAAAACCAAATATTCTGAACAGAACAAGGCCCAGCTCGGCAGCCACGCGGAAGCAAAATGTGAGGAAGATTGTAGGGGGGGGTACGAAAAATCGTCGCAGGAGAGAGGCACAGTTTGCCTCAAATGTGCTTGCCCCAGGGCACTGTAGCGGGAACAGAAAGGAGCAATCGGAAAAAACAAAAGATTCGCGCCCCCTGCTGTTGGGGAAATCCAACTTTCAAAAAACGAACAATGTATTTTTTAATGTAGTAACCCTTTCCTTTGTAGGGTCCAATGTTGGCCCGTGAACAGTGAACCCAGGTGGAATCAGAAAAGTGATTCTTCCGTTTTCAAAGAATCACTTTCTTCTTCCGTCTCACTAGGGCGGAACCTTTCCGCCAAAGGGGGGAGAATAAGGACAGAAGACGGCGCGGAAGCAATGTTTGGATGTGTTCGCGTCGCTGCTGCTAAACACCTGCGTTTCGATTTCCGGAAAGTTTACCCTACAACCCGTACTGTTTTGCCCTCGATAATGCGATTAGAAGCTTCAAAGAAGACGGAAGAATTTTTCTTCCGCCCTTTTTTCGTGGCTGCCGAACTGGGCCCAAGAATAACCAAACACAAAGAATGTTCTTAACAATCAGAATCTATACCCTAAACGTATATAATCCAAACCAATCAATGTATATGATCCTATATTATATGTCATATCTATAAATAACAGTAATTCGTCAAATATCATAATCATGTTACAATATTACAAAATCATCATTTTTGTCGGGTGTATCTAAAAATATCAGTGTAATGTTGCTTCGCAACCCTAAGACGATTTCGTCGCCTCTTGTTTTTTGTTAGGCCAACGGTACGGCGATGAGAGCTTTCGAATAGGCACTGATGGAGAACGATTCGTCGAGGACAACGCCTTTCCGGCAGGCAGCGGTATGACCGATACCTGTCGTTGAAACCATCTCGACACAACCCCCTAGGAAGTCACAAGCCATACCAGGCTCAACCCCGCCACCCTCGACGTCACGAGCCATACCGGGCTCGACAGCTCCACCCTCGACGTCAGGAGCCATGCCGGGCTCGACAGCACCACACTCGACGTCACGAGCCATACGGGTATCATCAGCGCCACTCGTGACGTCACGAGCCATACCGGTAGTGGTTCAGCCGGTTGCGACGGACCAACATTCGACAGGCCGGGCCGTCAATGTCGAAGTGGGGGGGGCACCGACCGAAGTCCCTTCGACGGCGCAATCCATACCTGTAGTAGTAGAACCGATTTCGACAACGACCCCTCCCTCAAAACCGGATGCGACATTCCCTTTGTTCTTGCGCCACGCTCCAAACGCCGGTGGGCATACCAGCGACCGCATTGAGATAGACCTTCCAGTCCTTCTCATCCTGCGCCGTAAACCCATCGTACTTCGTAAGGACTATGTCGGAGAAGTACACGCACCAGCAGACGGCCGTACAGAACTTTTGGTCAGTACAAAACTTTTGGTCCTTCTCCGTTTCAAAAGTGCTCAGGCACCGCTTTCTCCCGCCAACGGTCTGCTCGAAAATCAGCTTCCCCTTCCGCAACATCATGCCCAGTCCTTTGAAGGGAGCTTTGCAGCCTCTCGCCTTGGTCGTCCGGCCGAGGAGGTGGGGTGTAGCCGATCACCTTGGCCTTCTTCGTCTTTTCTTGTCGAGCAGCAACGACGGTAGACGCCTTCTCGACAGGAGCTTGGCCAGCGAGGCTGGCCGGCTCCACCACGTGACTGCTCTCACTCGCCTCTGCAGCGCGCTTCGTCGACTTCGTTACGGCCTGCCTCTTCTTCGACGCAAAAGGGGAACCCGGTTCGCTAAGGCAGACGTCGCCTAGGGCCTAAGCAGCGGTGACAGGAGCAATTGGAGGGGTAGAGGAAGACGCCCAACTTCCCACAAGCTCGACAGCACAGCCAGCACCACTGCTCTGCGCAGCTGATGCCGCTTTTGTCTTCGACAGCAACCCGGCGCATGTCTCTCCCGCTCCTTTCCCCGCATCGCCGCCGGACGGGGTAGGGGCACCTCGCTTTCCCAGGGCTCTTTTCCCGGCTGAGGCGACGGACTCGATTGGGGCACCACTTTTCTCCCCCGCAACCACTCCTTTCCCACCCGTTTTTGTCAGAATATTATGCTCTAGCCTGTAGTGGGGTGCTCTATAGCGAGTACAACCCTTCTAGGGTTTGCTATTTGTATCCTCATTCTTGCTAGTGCAACCCCTCTTCTTCCTACTATTTTAACATGCTATCAGAGCAGGTCGATCCCCTTGGATCGATCCTGTGGGTGGTCTTACCACCTCGTTGCTTCCGCTGCAACTTCCACTGCTACCCTCTGTGCCGCACGCCCCGTGGCGTGCGGCAGTTTTTCTTCCCGCCGTGCGCCCCGAGGCACGCGGCGGTTTTCTGCCCGCCGTGCGCCCCGTGGCGCGCGGCGGTTCTCTGCCCGCTGTGCGCCCCGAGGCGCGCGGCGGGCTTCTGCCCCGTCACTCGGCGCGTCGCCCTCGGGAGGCGCTGCGACGGGCGACGGGGACCCGCGCGTCGCCCCCCGTCGCCCGTCGTGGCCTGCGCGCGGCCCGTACAGGCTGCGCGCGGCCCGTACAGGCTGCGCGCGGCCCGTAAGGGCTGCGCCAGGCCCGGACGCGGCCCGTACGGGCTGCGCCAGGCCAGCGCGCGGCCCGTACGGGCTGCGCCAGGCCCGCGCGCGGCCCGTACGGGCTGCGCCAGGCCCGCGCGCGGCCCGTACGGGCTGCGCCAGGCCCGCGCGCGGCTCGGGCCGCCTGTGCGCGGTTCGGGCGGCTGTGCCAGGCCCGTGGGCGGCCCTTTCCTCGCTGCCCCTGCCCTCCCCGCTGTCCCCCGTGCTTCTACTGGCGCCCCACCCCTCCTACAGCCCGTTCTCCTGAATTAGGGTTTGGGGGTGAGGGGTATGGGGGTGAAGCCACTGTGTGCCGTTCCCTGCTCCTCCTCCTCCTCCGTCTCCCTGTGCTGCAGCTGCCGCTGAGGGGGGGTGGACTTGTTGGAGCCGTTGGAGTGGTACTAAGGGGGGGTGAAGGGGGAGTGGAGCTAGCGGTGTAGCAGCGGGTGTGTGAGAGGGGTGTTGGGTAGCTGGGGGAGGTTAAGTGGAGGCAGCAGTCTTGTCGTCAGCAGCACCAGCAGTCCGGAGGCTACAATCTCCGGTAGTCGCCAGTCGCCTGTGGGTCAGTTGCTCGTCTGCCGCTACTTTTAGCCGCGGAGCCAGTTACTCCTGTAGTCCGGGCCTTTGCTTCGGTAGCCACTGAGCCAGCAGCTCGTCTGTGTGTCTGCAGCGTCAGCAGTCGCCTCCCATCTTCTCTCCCCCACAGTCTCTCCTCCTCCTCACTTGCCCTCTGTGACTACCACTAGCTTTGCTCATAATTGTGAACTTTAAACTATTGCTTCTTGAACTTGTGCTCAGAATGTGTGGTGACATTGTGATCCACCCTGAGCTTGTACTGCTTTACTTGCTCTGCTGATTACACCCCACTTTGGCTATGGGGGTGTGTCAGAATATTATGCTCTAGCCTGTAGTGGGGTGCTCTATAACGAGTACAACCCTTCTAGGGTTTGCTATTTGTATCCTCATTCTTGCTAGTGCAACCCCTCTTCTTCCTACTATTTTAACAGTTTTCCCCAGGCTCTGCAGCATGTCCTTCATCGGAGCCACTTCGGAGGTCTTCGAGAGGGGCGACTAGTCGAGTACGATGACCTCGTTATCCTCGACGGACTTGGCAACGGTGGGGATGCTATTGGGCTGCCGACATGTCCTCCCACCGAAGAAGGAGGAACCGAGCTCTCGTGAACTCGAGGCTCAGCCCCGTTGCGAACCCCTGCTACACCCTCCTGACGCGACCTCGTCGACGGGCCCGCCGAGCGCTGAAACCCTCTCGCCATCGCTTCGGTGAGGACTTCCAATCTCCCAGATTCAGCTTCATTGTAGCCTTCTCTCACAACGTCCTTCAGCTCCTTCATGGTCTCGGGTGGGAGGCCGGAGTAGAACATGTCCTCCTTGACGGCTTTCTCGATACCCTTCACGACCGTAACAACCATCCACTCCTCGACATGCTTGAGCTGCTTCTCGACAACGTCCTCGCTCGCTTTGTGATAGTGGCTGCCACCCCCTCGATGATTTTCCCGCTCATCTCGTCGAGCTTCGTGCGCGCCCCTTCCAACAGCTTCCTCTCCTCCGTGACACCGTTTACTGCGTCGCCGCACTTCTTCAGTGTGCTCTTCGACGACTCTGAAATCATATTCCAAGCCGTCCGAAAATCAGCATCAAGCTTGTTGAAAACAACGGCTTGCTCACTGTGCTTCGCAAAGACGTCGGCGACGAGCTTCTTCTGCGATGCCTCGACCTCGGCGACCCTCTGCAGTAGCTCGACGACCTGGCCTCCGCATGCAATGGCCGACATCGAATGGCCTGCCGTCGAAGGGCGCCCGGTCGAAGGGCCCGCCTGTCCGCTGCCACTGGCCGTGTGGTGTCTCCTTATTACTGCGACCTAACGCTCCTGTGTAGCCGCCACGCCCTCCCGAAGCCGCCACGCCCTCCTGCTGCTGCCCTCCGACCCCACCCTCCTGCGCAGCCGCCCCGCCCTCCTGCTGCTGCCCTGCGACCCCACCCTCCTGCACAGCCGCCCCGCCCTCCTGCTGCTGCACTCCTATCCCAAAATCCTGCACCGCCGCCCCGCCCTCCTGCTGCTGCACTCCTGTCCCACCCTCCTCCGCAGCCGCTCCGCCCTCCTGCTCCTCGACAGCCCCATCGTCCCCCGTCGCCTGCTGCTCGATATGCTTCAACCGCTCGTCCACCCGCTCCCCGAGCACTACTCTGTGCTCCTCCGTGCACTCCGTCCCACCTGGATGTTCTCCTGCGCCCTCGCCGTCGTGCTCGACCGACTCATCACTCGAGCTGGAGCCGGAGCTCGATTCCGAGCTCGAGCCCTCCTGCTCGTTCGCATTGCCGCTCGGGCCGCTCATCCCGTGTTGAGGTTGCCTCGATGTATCCTCCTGGATCTCCTCCTCCTACTTGTAGCTGGCCTCAAGCAGGACGCTTGTCGCCCCCTTGCCTCCTCCCTCGTGCTCGACACCCCCTCCTACTCCTACTCCTACTCATACTCCTACCCCCTCCGCCACCTCGTCCATCCTTCTCCAAAACAGCTTGACCATGAACGACGGAAGCATACCCGGGCCAGGGCTCGTTCTCTCGAACAAAGCGAGGTTGCCTTGTCGAGGCTGCATGATGAAATTCTCCCAGTTCGGCAGAATCCGGCGCACCCCATGCACGACACGAGCTGCCGCGCCGGGTTCAATGAGACTCGTCAGGGGCGTCGTCGTCTGCGATGGGTATAAAACACACGTAAGTGACAGAACAACATGCTCGACAAAAACATGTACGAGTAAGGGTAAGGGTTGGCTTACCAGATGATCGAAACTCGTCATCATGTCCAAACGCATGTCGATGAGGCTAAGCACCGAGCGGGTTGTGAAACGTGCTCGGTCACAACCCGCTGGGTCAGCGCTTACTCGGCGCGAAGCTGCTTCTTCATCCAACTGCAAAGCAACGGACAGGAGAGTAAGAGATTGTCGAGAACGGCAATTCGACAGCAGGGTGGCAAATCGGTCACTCACACGAGAACTTCATGCGCCACCGAAGACTGGTGGTTCACCGCGGAAAACTTGTCTAGTGCATCATTCGAGTTCGACAACCACGGTGCCTCGGAACCAGCAGATCGTCGGGGCGCGATACCACAAACACACTCAAGTGGGAGAACGGCGCCACAGTCAGGCTGCATGCAGAGCGAATGCACGTTGTACTAAACACGGAGCACGCAAGGCGACGGGATAGTGTCGAACTTACGTGGTCCTCAGCAGAACGAGAATCACTTGCTTGTCGAGCAGGCCGTCGAGGTGGTTGTTCGCAAAAGCGACCGGTGTGGGACGCGCCATCTCTTCATGCACACGCATTGAAGTCACGATTCACAGCTTGGCGAGCTGCTCGACGAACAGCAGCTCCCTTGAAAACAGGCAGCACGAAAGGCTAAGGCACATTCAGCGACAGGTAAACATGGCAAATTGAAAATGCTCGACAGGAAACGTACACAGCACCCGCGTTCATCATCCCCTCGTCGAGCTCCGCCTTCGCCGCCTCACTAATCGCATTCAACTGGTCTTCGAACAGCTCCACCTCGATCCCGCCTGCGGTTAGGATGAGGCCGCGTCGAACCGTCGGATCGTTCACGACGGGTAGGGAGGCAGGGCCCGTAGCCATGGCACGCCTAGCAGTAGGGACGGCGGGAGTGCAGGGAAGTTGGGAACTAGGGAGTAGGGAAGAAAAACTCGGAGACAGCAACAAAATGAGAACACACTTAGGGTATTAGCTTTTTGCCATCCCCCCCACCGGGACAGACTCGGGTGCAAGGGCGACGAGGCAGGGCGCGTTCCCCGACGGCGGGAGGAGGAGCTTTTGGCAGAGGGCGGCGGGGCCCTTTATTGGTGGTTGGTTGCATGAGGTGGGGCGCCCTGCAAGCAGCTGAAACGCCCCTTTCAAGGAGCGGGAGGGGGCGTTCGACACGTCACCGGGGTCGAGCGCCAAACGAAACGGGCCCGTCGAGGGCGAGAGCGGTGGAGCGCAGCGCAGATGGGCGTCGCTTCCGTCCGCTCGCGAAAATTCGCAGACGGGTTCCGTCGGCGAGGCGACGCCCGGCGAGGGTTCTGTGGGTTACCGGATGGAACCCGTCTACGAACCGAGGGTGGGTTGGGTTCGGTTGGGGGGGACCACTGCCAGCTCGAGGGCGAGTGTCGCTGGCGTCATCGGCAGCTGGCGCCAACTGGGAGTGTCGTTTTCGAGCGGGGGGGGGGGGGGGAGAGGGTCGGCTCCCGCCCCTCGCGTGCGCCGCTAGGCGACTGCGGGGAAACAAAAATCCCTCGAGGGAAATCCTGCAGGGGCAAAAGGGGGTTTCCGGAGGGATCTCGCGTCTTAGCGTATACAATGTATGTTTTAACATATTTTTCTCGTGTCGTCAAGGAGTCGTCACAGGTGTACTGTCAGGAGAGGCTCTTATATTCGCATCAGAAACACACTCGCATACTAGAAAGCTATAGTTTTCAGTCTAGTGAATAAATTATCAATGATACATAACATTATCGGAATGTTTTTCAATCAAATTTTGTTTCCTTTTCCCTACACTTTATCTTGAGACAAATCGTGACGAAAATTTTAAAGACCGACCTTCTATTAAGATATTACTCATGCTTCATGTTCATGCGTTTTCACATTTTATGTTTTTAGGCCTTGGGGCCAGAGGATGGTCCCTATATCAGATTTTGTTCATTATTAGTTAGTAGTGTTGAAGACGAATTGGATGTTCTCACTAAAGTCTTCTGTTTTATTGCCCATCAGGTCGCACTATTCAAGTTCTTAGAACATTCCGGATCTATGTTGTTGCATGTTTTTCATTTGAACAAGTAAATACACTAGTAAAATCATGTGGCAAATAGCATCACTGAAGATCGCTTTAATTTCTTAAGTAGAATGATCACCACTCATCAATTTACGTGCACCCATGTGCATCTTACCACCAACCCCTTTATACATTTCTTCATTGGTAGCAGAGTTGGTGAGAATGATTTGGCACAATGCGCGAAATGAACCTCTTGAACTTGTCCTTTTTGCCTTTTATTAGATCCCTGGAAACCAGGTGGCGAGCATAAACGATGGGCTGTATGTGCTTGCATTGGAAGCCATTGAGGCAGTTGCGAAGATGCTGGCTGCAGCTGCCACAGCAGGTAAAGAGTGGAGGAGGGTTGTGGGTGTGTGTGAGAAGGCAAGTGCATTAGAGCCTCTAGGAAGGGATGAGCGCTAAGACACATTCATCCTTGCTCTCCTTTTCTTAACTTCTTGTCATTCTTTTCATTTTCTAGTCATCATCTTAGCATGCTGTTCACATCGTACATACATTGTGAACACTAGCTTTGGATGGGATCTTAGGATGCTGTCCACATCGTACATAGATTGTGAACATTTGCTCTGGATGAGATCATTGTTGGGTGAATACAAGAGAACAGTGAAAGGCTGAAATGTGTGTATGTGTGTGAAGAACTCGTCGTTCTCACATTGTATTTGTTGGGGTTTGAGCAACCACATTTGTGACTGTAGGTGTGGCTACCTGGCCCCCCGCCACATGGTCAAGAGGCGCATCGTCCACGTACAGGCCTCCAACTGACAGCCGGGTGGGATCTTGTACAAGAGAGTCACCAATTGCGTCTCCAATCACCTCCTCCTCCACATCGCCCTCGACGTCACCTCCGCATGCAACAAGAGTCTCCATGCATGGGGCTTGGATTTCGCCATCCTCCTCCAAGACTTCCGGACGAACCCTCGAATCTGCACGTGGGGCCATCCTCACTGAGGAAGGGAGATAGGGTTAGGTATTTGGTTTGTTGAAAATCCTTTCTAGACCTAATTAGGATGCACAAAAGATTTTCATGACAATAGGGCAATGCAACGGATGGTCTAAGTGGCAAGTCCTTAAAGACAGATCCCATCAAATCTATATGTGCAAACCTCAAAAAGTTTGCATACGAACCAAACGCTGTGTCGACGTCAAAACGACAATTTCCAGAATTGTGAAAGGTACTATGGATGAAGGAGCGTAAAGGGGGACCCCTGGTCAGCGTGGCCAAGCGCCAAAAGACAACGGGGGATGGGCAGGGACAAGGTGATGTGGGAGTTGAATAGGTTGTGACTGTAGAAGAACCCCCGGCTGTGCCGACATCAGGGGTGGATGGAACCCCGCTTGAATGTCCCACGACTGTCGGTTCAACCACGGTAGAACGAGCCTCGAGTTCGGATGCAGCCACAGTTGCATATACGTCCGGAGCATCCATACCTGAGCAAGTCATCAACTTCCAATGGGCCGGTGTGCAACAACTCTAGGAGTTCGACCCACATCAAACGTATGGTGTTCCTGTCTCTGCGGAAGTCGAGTACGTGCGGCTCACAACGGATACAACGATGCATGAAGAGCCCAAAGATGAAAACGGTGAGGTGTTTTTCGAGCATGCTCCGGTCTCATTTCTAAAGTTCATGCCACCATCGTTCAATGCTGTCCATTTCGTAGCCGCCAGTCACCTCCCCACTTTCCAGCCACCACCGTTCATTGCTGTCCATTTCGTAGCCGCCAGTCACCTCCCCACTTTCCAGCCACCACCGTTCATTGCTGTCCATTTCGTTGCAATCAGTCACCTCCCCACTTTCCAGCCACCACCGTTCATTGCTGTCCATTTCGTTGCAATCAGTCATCTCCCTACTTTCCATGGGAAATAAAGAACGGGAATCACACGCTCTCTTATGCATTTGCCATCCATGTGTGCAGAGCTAGAGGAGTTGCATGCTTCTTCCATAGATACGATCCAACCAGACAACGTGGATGACAATTTGCATTGGACGGAAAGGGGTAGTGCCAAAAGGAAGCTTAGTGAGGTCGGCGCTGGCCTAGCTGACGAAGAAGCGTACTATGAGGTCACGCTGGCTCAACGGTGGAGTACGCACTTCAACCATGTGATGGTGAATTGCAATATGATGGTGAAATATGGACAGACTCCGTCAGCAGACCGTGTTGCACAGCAACTTGTCGTATATGCAGACCATTGGGCAGGGATCCACACCAGCTACGAGCATGCGGGTGAGGTACTTCGATGCGAATCAGAACAATGGGGACCGGAGAGTGCAGTTTACGAACCCGGCTCTGAGGCCTATTTGGCACTCCGAAAGTGGCTTGCTGGCCATTTTAGTGCGAGAGAAATGAACGCGAGTAACTGGGGGAATGAATCATTTCATTCCCTAGTAATCAAGAACGTACCGAAGCGGATCCGTTTTCAAAGAAGTATGGTGGCTAGAATTGGTCTTACTGTGTTACACTGGAACCAAACGGTATCACGTCTTGTCGTGGCAATTAAGACACGTGTGCGGAAGGCGA